AAAAGAGTATTGCTCCGCGATTGCTAAAGTTTACAGCTTGTATCTTGCAAACGATGGCGGCGGAGTCGACGATGTAGCCGTGGTCGCGGACTTGTTGTGGAGGACGGAAGATAGGTTGGACGAGGGGATGGAGGTGGGGATGACGGAGGAGAGATGAATTGGTTGGTGAGATCTGCCATGGAAGAAGTGAGGGGAAGAAGATGCTGCTGTTTAGTTAGGGACATAAGGTGACAGTTGGGTGTTTGGGTATTACGATAGCAATTGTTGGGATAGGTTTCAAATGACAAATGTTTAAATTCAATTGATCCACGTAGTGGTCGGTAATACTGGTGTGCTGACTGTTCAGCATCCAAGTATTGTCCAATTGAAATCTCATCCCTTCCTACATTTAAGTCAAATAAACAGCCTTTTAGGGGCGTTTGTTTTTCCTTATTAAGTAGGACTAGACTAGACTGGATTAGGTATTAGTGTAGTCCCATATTTGTTAGAGGAAGGGACTAGTTTAATGGGATTAAACCTCACTCGCCTTTACTACGGAACTCGCTAGATAGTTTTAGCGAGACCCCCCAAATACCACCGGACTGCTAAGACCCTTCTTTTCTCTCGCATTGTCCCGCTTGACTCCTCGCTCTGCTCAACTCCTTATCTTGCTCAACAACCTCGCCGGACCATCCCAGGAACACCGCCACGTCCTTGTAAATCAATGCTTCCTCTGCCACTTTCTCTTCTTAGTTTTCTTCAATTTTGTTTTGAAGATTCGTGAAATTATTACTGGGTTTTGATAGATTTCTGGTTTTGATCGATTTGTGGGTTTGATTGATTTCTGGGATTTTATTGGTTTATTGGTTTTGATTACTACCCATTTGTTTTCAATTTATCTGCTATTTTTCCTTTTATGAATTGATTGATAAGTTTTTGTAAGTTGAAGTGATTTTTTTTCTTCATTCCCTGCTTTCGTTTTGCTAGAAATTTGATGTTATCATATTTTGGTTTAATCTTGATCCAAAACTCCCCGATTTTCTTACTTTAAAATACCCATTTTATGGCTTTTCAACAAGCTTCTGAGCATACAGAAAGCACACTTTTCTGATCCCATAACCCAGATAACCTTTTTTACATCGTACTGGGCTTCCTAATTCAACAAGTTCCTAACTCTTTCTAATTTCTGCTTTGTTTTCTTAAAAGACCATTCAAGAGAAGTCCTTTTCTACGGCCGCATGATGCTAGAAAACTCTTTTGGCCAAGGCCATTGCAAATGAACATCAAGCTTAGTTCATCAGTGTCAAAGGCCCTAAATTGCTCACCATGTGGTTTGGTGAAGGTGAAACCAATGTTCAATAAATCTTATACAAGGCTCGTTCATCTACTAAACTGTAAATTTGGCTTTTTTTGTATAATATTGGTTTAATTCTTATTAATCGTACAATATTAGTTTGTGGTTGAAAGAAATTAAAATTGAACAATAATTTGCAAACACCAAACTGTGGACAGTACTATTTTCACTATCCTGCTTCTTAGTCTGACACTGCACCAAACGCTTCACTAAATTTGTAACAACCCGTCTCCGAATTTTACAGTTTTTATAATTTTAATACGTGGATTTACGAAAATGCCCTTCAAGGTAAAAATGTTGATTTTTATTAACCACCTTGTCGTGTCACGTAAGATCCGTTTTCTTGGCATATCCTCGTAGTATTCGTCGCTATGAACGCGTGGGCGCAAACAAAACATAATTTGGAGGTATAACAAATGAGTTATTAACGAACGAAGTTGAGGGTAAAATGGTCATTGACCATAAATCTTGGAAGGCTCCAGATTTTATTGGAGCAGTGAGATGATGCCACGTGTGTGGCTGGGATGGAAAGGAATGAGAGAAATGAGAGAGATGGATGGATGAGAGAGATGAGAGGGTGTTGCCCAATTAGGAAGGAGGAGAGGAGAGAGTGAAACAATCAGAAAATAGAGAAAGGAAAGAAAGGAGAGAGTTGAGAGAGTAGCCAACTAGACCCGTTCCCCTTGACCCGTTACACAGCGACCCGACCCGAGTTCTAGCAACTTTTCCAACGGTTCTCTGTCTATTTTTTCGATGATTTACGGCCTTCCTTATTCCATTTCCACCCAAAACCCAGTTCCTTTAACCCCCAATTTGAGGAAAACGTAACCCGTGGGTTCCGAAGGGGTCACGGCGCGAATCGCCAATCCTGCGGGTTCCGACCACCACTACCACCACCAAACCACTCCTCCAAAGGCCAAGAACAAACCCTAAACAACCTTGGAGGAGGCGGAGCATCGGAGAAGTTAAATCGAAGCATACTCATTTCTAGGGTTTCTGACGATCCAAGGGTGATTTCAGGCATTTCCCGGCCAATTGGACTTCGGTCCAGGTATGAAAAGTACTCCCCTCATTGAGATCTACTTGCCTGTAAAATTTGGGAATTTTTAGAGTTGTTGTATTTTTCGACGAGTCAAGACTGTTGGCCGTCGCGTACGGCGGCTCGTGCGGTGGCTCATGGGGGGGAAACCTAGGTCCCTCCTTAGATTTTTTGACGTGCCGGATCCGAATTCACAATCCGTTTTCCCAAATTCTATCGTTTGGATATAGTTTTACTAAATGGTCCCTAATTGTGTTTAGGCGCGTTGGTGGGAAGCGACGTCATCCTTGCTAGCTCGAGTAGTTCCAGGGCAACGAAATATCTGTAAGTGGACATCTTCTAAACTTACATATTTTTATAAATATTAGCCTAGCATGCATTTCACACTTCATGATTTGAATATGTTTTATATATTGTTTTTCCAGATTTCTATATTTATGGTTTACGAGATAGTTATGATTTATCACACTTACGTTTTATGAAAGGTATTGAATCATTAGATTTTCATATATGAAACTCTATGGATTATGAATATGATTTATTTTACAGTTTCCGAATATGAGTTATGAATTGTGGGATTTTCATATATGGAATTCTATGGATTTATAAATGTGAATTATGATGGATTTATATGTTGACGCTTGGAGCTTTTGAGCTCTGGATTTTGATATGAGATTTTTGAGATATGTTTTCGGTACATATTTAGTGGGTTATCATACAGCACATCCACACAACACGGGTATTATGATGTCTATGGCCATAGGACACAGTTGATGAGGAGTGAGATGAGATATTATGATATACGCCCAGCTTCACTGCTGAAAGCAGTGTCGGACAGCTTCACTGCTGAAAGCAGTGTCGGACAGCTTCACTAGCCACGACCAGTGTCGGTGTGTGATGTATATATTTTCTTCTCCAACGTAACCTGGAGTCTTACAGTTTCACCTTCGAATGATGAGGCCTACCATATTTCTTCATTGGCGTAACCCAATGTCGTACAGCTTCACCTTTGGTGATGGACAGGTACTGCCTTCGGGCGACTATGATACCCCTAGATAGTACAGTATGATGAGATTTACGGATTTTCCTTCAGGCGGCCATAGCACATTTATTGAGCATTGTTTTACACGTACATATTTTATGAACGTTTTCATGGCATGCTAGAGTTTTCTGAAAACCTACTAAGTAGTACTATATATATGTTTTCAAAACAGGGGGTTAGTATGTTCATAAAGAAAATGGTTTTCTTATTATTAGTATTATTATTATAAACTTTAGTCCACTCACCTTTTTTGTTTTTGCGTCCCCTCAGGAGTTAGGATCGCACATGATCTCGGTGTTAGGGTGCTTCGGCTTAGTTATCCTCGAGTCTTCTCAGTATATGTATCATTTCCACGTTCGTATCTTTCTGAGTAACTCTTTCATATTATTCTTAGTTAGTTGTATGCTCTGAGCACGTTCCTGCTTTGGTATAATCGTTCTAATTGCATATATTTTAGTTATATGCGCGTTTAAAATGGCTTTGTCACCCTTGGGTGTCGGCCAGCACGTGCCCATCCTGGTATTTGGGAAATATCGGGGTTGGGGTGTGTCAAATCAGTCCAACTTAGTATAGTCTAAGGTAGTCCAGTCTGAAATAGTCTAGTGCAACAAACGCACCCTTAAACTCCTCCATTATTTTTCATCCCTCACTCACATCACATCCAAACTCAATCCATCATGCTTGTTCATCTCCATACACCAAACCTACCCAGACCATTATATTTATGTAGTCAACTTCTTTTCTTCTTTTTATTTTTTATTTTCCTTTTATTATTGAATATTAATCCTTTTTTTTAAAGAATATTGAATATTAATCTTGATTGTTCAATTTCAATATATGGTTGGCTATACTTTTGTATTTCATGGGTACAATTTTATTCTACATGTTATTTCATTCTAATATATATATTGGTACAATATATTTTGCGAGTACTTTCGTTATACATTTATATATGTAGATATTGATATGGGTACAATTTTTTTTGGAGAAAATTAGGTAAAATGGTTGTGGTTGCTGCATTTTTTTATGTAACATACGTATGCTTACTAAACAATGTGGTACATTCTTTTCTTTGAGTTGTTTACATGTACCCATGAGTTTTTTCTTTTATATTTATTTGGGTACAACGTTAATTATAATTTTCTTTTTTGTAAATTTAGTATATATACCCATTTGGCATTTTTTGTCAAGTTCATGGGTACATTGTTTTTGTATATTTAATGGGGTACATTATTTCCCTTTATACTACTTGATTGGCAAGTGGCCCTTTACCACAGTGGTGGAGAGAAGTATTGTCCTTGCACCAAGACGTGGGTTTGAACACCATCGACTTCCTAGTCTAACAAATCTATCTTTTAACAACAACAAATTTTTTTTTTTTTTTTTTTGGAGTTCGGAAGCCACACAATAGGCAATCTAATTTGGTATCGAATTCACCATTTACGAGATTCAAACATAAGATCTCTCATTTATAAATAAAGAGGAATATCACCAGACTATAATACTGAGTGACAATTATTGATTCAAATCCCTTAAATGTTGCTAATTAGAGCCATTTTCAAATATAAAAAAACAAGAAGACAAAGTGTTTTGAAGTTTGACTCAATCAACCATTTTTATTTAAAATACAAAAAAATGACATGTAAATATAATAAATACTAAAATGCTGAGGTGTACAAATTCAAATGACTTTGATGAAAATTAAAAAACTATAAGGTTTCAATCTAACAATTGAGATGATCAAGGACCGCAACTAAAATGACCCTAAAAACAAGTTTATAGACATTCAGCAACGCTTCCAAAGTAGTACCATTTGGCCAAAATTGCCTTTCAATTTTCTCCTCCAACCTACAAAACCATCACCAGATTGCAAGTGTTTTCATTCCTTCAGGCATTAGTCGTCGGACAAGAGGCTCGAATTTCGCCTTCATCACCTGTCTTCACGCCGATGCTAGCAAGTTTCAAGAATGACTCAGTCCAGCTCTGGAAAAAACTAACTTGGTCCTGTGCAAATATCTCCACTTGTTTTCTTGTTCTGCCATCGGTTAGCAAGATGGAATCCGATTGAAACAGCCCTCTGTGTGCTAAGAGATTTTGGTAGTACTGATTATCGAACGCAAACGATGTTTTAGGATCATTTTTTACCGTTGTAGACTGATTTGCGCCTGCAGGGCACTGCTCCATGAGCTCCTCTGCATAAACATTGTCTAAGGATGTGTCAATGAGTGTGAATTTTCCTTTGGGGTCCTGCTTGAACCGATCTCTGAATGCACTGCAGTGAGCTGATCCGATAGTGTGAGCTCCTGAAATGTCGAAGCGATCAGTAGTTGCTACAAAGGCTGAGTGGTTACAGCTAACAGTCGATATACATTGCGATTAAATGGCAGCATGTCCACTCAAGACACACACAAGGGGACTCGCATTCAAGTCCATCAAAATAGTCCCACATGGAACCCGAATGCAAGGGTCTCATTTGTGCGTGTCTTGGGCGGACGAGTGATGCGGCTACATAAATAGGGAGTTTTAATAAAACACTCACGGTACTATTCATTTTAACGAAAAATCATATTTTTTACATTTTTCTAATACCATTCACTGCACATTTATTTGTCATTTTTCATTAAAACTAAATTTTTTTTACATTTTTCGTTAGTTTTCCTACCTAAATAAGGTACCTGATAGGGTGGCTAGGTCAACCAAAGACAACCCTTTGGAAGAGAAGAGCTTAATCATCTCATCCATTGTAAAACTTGTATCTACAATATTAGGCCTGACATTTGAAGCTGCAGAAACTTTCCCGTCTCTCCTACCTGTTGGAATCTGAGCCACAGGTCCCCCAGACTGTTTTGTACTCACCACATTAAATACACCCAACCAAAATATACAAACAGATAAAAAATAGGGTAGTGTTATCCACACATCCATTTTTACTTCTCACACATCCCTCTCAATTTTCGGTCGTCGGATCGAATGAGTTAAAGAAGATCAATGGTAAAAAATTAACAAGGGTGTGTGAGAAGGAAAAAAATGTGTGTGAATAGCATTATCATAAAAAATAATGAATAATTAAAAAAAAAAGTTGAGGGAGATGGAGATGGAGATCTGACAAATTCAACAGCATCTCTAGCAGCCAGAGCAACAATGTCAGCGCAAGAAACAGTTCCGGGACAGAAGACTTCAAGCAGTCTCTTCGCCGAATCGATCACTGCAAACCCTCCCAGAGATGTGTTTGCCGGATCACTTCTCTCAGTCCCAGTTCCTTGTAGAAGCACAGATGCATCACAACCCTGTGTAATTCATTTGGTTAGTATCAAGTCGATACTGTCAAATTAAAGGCCAAAAATCACGAGTGTCTCGTGACCGGGGTTTTGGAGCGTGACAGAAAGAATGCGTAGGTTTGAAAGACTTCTAGTTTTAAAAAGGCCGAGATTTTGGGGCGCGACAGAAAAGAGTACTTTGTTATATAAGTTGGTTTTAGGACTTGGAGCAGTAAAGGGGTGCAATTCATCTAAGAGAGCAAGAGAAATATACCAAAGCAGGGTTTGTTTACTTTACCTCCACAAAGCAATCATGGAAGAGCAGACGGAGGAGCTTCCCGGGGACGGTAGGGTCCAAGTCGGAGGCCGATCTCACTGTGTTTCGGACAATAAACTCGGCAGAAGGGCATGAAGCTGCGTAGAAATTCAGTGCCAGGTCTGCAGTGGAAGCAGAAGCTGCAAGAAATAACCAAATTAAGAAAACACAACAATGTGTGCAAGAGAAGGCTGCCGATGTCTTCTCCATCTAGGGATATTTTCATGTACGCTACACATAGAAATGCTCAAGACATTGACTTCTTCTACAATGTATAACATTCAAAGTCCTCAACTTTTTAGAGAGAGAGAGAGAGAGAGAGAGGGAGAGAGAGAAATAGTTGGCCATGTGTAAACAAACGGAGCCACGGAGGTGTATTTAAAGCTGCATTCAAGTTGATTTGGTGATGGCAGGAGGTAGATGGGATCACATTACTCATCATAACAAGAAAAAGGAAAAGGGTGGAATAGGGTTTTGATTAGCTCCTCAATCAAATTTTCTGGATAATCTCGAGGAACAGTGACAGTTCAAACTAGTATGGCAATGAGTATGATGGATTAAATGGAGGATTATGCAAGACCTCGTTGAGTAGGGCCGGCCCTAATGCAGTGCGAGTGGAGCGACCACATAGTATGCCATAAGTAAGAAGTTTCCTATCTTGAGATAGATGTAAGTGGAGCGACCGCACAGGGACTCACATCTAGAGGGCACTCGAGAAAGTATTATATGACTTGTAGCCTTATAGCTACCACACTGGATCACCAACTTGGACAGACATGTGTTACCTTGGCATCTAACCCATTCCCTCCTCTCTATGTTAATCACAGGATGTGTGCGATAGACACATGGTGATATATCACCTGTCACGCCCAAGATTTTTCCCATAGGGGAATATCAAAGTGCGCCGAAAAGAAATGAACCCGAAAAGCTAATTAACAAGAACAATGCCACAAACATTTTAAAATACACAAAATCTTGTCTAACAAGTCGGTCTATCCACTTTCAGATCGAAAACAAAAGTCAGTACATATATCTCTTGTTCTCATGGGTCAATATAGCATATGATTTGCTCCCTCTTACAAAAATTAGACACTGAATAAATTATATTCACAACTAACAGGCCTTAAAAAAGGAACAAGAAAAGAGACCAGACCTACTTCCATCCAAGTATATAGATGAAATTCGATTAAACAAACTTCGACTGAGAGAGCCTAACGGCATTGATCAGCCCAAATATTTTGAAACGGACAAATGATGGATGCCCAAAGAGGTATATAACTATAGGAGTTTTCACGAATTTTCATTTTCGCTATCCACGGCATCTTCTTCCAACTCATCCACATCATCAATGGGAATGTCTTCACTATTCTCTTCAACAGAACCTACAGAAAGCTTTGCAGTTAGTTTTAGTGAAGCTTGAAAGAGGAAAAGGTTCGGTAACAATTGCAGGAGGGACCCATAAATAGTTTGTAAAAAAACATCTGCAAAGTTTACCAAGCAATTGACATAATAAACCCTCACTTTATGAGCAGATTTTTACCTCTACGTGTTATCAAGAAGGTAAGGAAGTTCCAGAAACTGCAACAGAGATTCTGTCTGAGGATTCCGAACGTGTGCTGCCAAAAAGAAAATTTGTAGTGTTTACATAAAATGTTCTTGTTTAACAGCATTCAGAATGACATGATGATCCTTACCACGAAAAGAACCATAAGAGACAGATTGAGAGGGATTGTAAGGTGGAACTGTCTGGGTGAATTCAAACGGTCTGGCCCCTCTTGCTTGCAACTTGCTCCTGACCAAGGTCTAAAATATCTATTATCCCGATATTTTCATCGAAATTTCCGTGTTTTTGGACTATCGATATTTCCGATATCATCGATATTTTAAACCTTGATAGGAACTCTATATGGTACTAAGTCACTCATGTATCTTACCATGCAATGTATGAAGTGCAAAATATTGTACTAATTCATTATATATAAATGATTATGTTGTGTTTAAACATTTTTCATTAATTACTACATATTTTCTACACTCACAATGTTTGTCAACTCGCTATATAATCAACTTAAATCAGTTAAATCCATCATGCAATGCATTTCCTTCCAATTGTTTTGTGATAAACTAATAGATAATTAACTAAATAAATATCATGCAAAGTTTCAATAAAAATTTTCAAGTTTTTCTTACAATTTTTGTGGTTTTTATTCAATTTTTATGGATATCGATAATGACACACCCTAACCCGAAGACTAGGACGTGCTGGCCGTCACGTGAGTGTGACGTAACCATAACGCAAGCGGAAACGATTTAATAATAAAATACGAGTCAACAAAAACCACTAATTGCAGTTATTTACAACCGAGCATTCTATGTGCATAAGAGTGTACTAAACACACATAAACAGAGCATAAGCATCTAGGTGCAGTCAAGTAGGAACATAACTAATTTACAACACCCTCGGGTGAATCCTACATTTATTTAGTCTGTCAGAACGCCGAAGCAGTCTCGTAGGCCACCAACGCCTCAACTATCAACTAGAACCTGGAGGGGCGAAAAACAGAAAACGTGAGTGGGCGAAAATAAAAGCTTTTCCAAAACATTTCATAAATCCACATTTATAACCCCTTTTTGGAAAACCTGTATACTTTCCCAGAAAAATAGTATATAGCATATATATATCTCAACTGTCTCAATCATCAATCTTATAACAGATTCAATAAAGAATGTACCATGCCAATTTTCAACAGTGTAGTATGAATGATGCATTAACATAATATAATCAGGTAAAAGAAATAATCAATCGGAGGCCCTCTAATAGCCCTGAACGATTGAACCTAGAGCTGCTCAACATCTATCAATCTCACTCTCTGCCGGAGTCACTCCGCGTGAGACCTGTCCGGCCTTCTGCACATAAGTCGGAACCACCTAATGTAGTCTGAACGACTCATGGTAATATTCGCTCTAGTGCTTCTCTCATCAATCATCTGTATACAATAACCTAAGGTCACCCCACCAGTCATAATCTCACTAACACTCTACGACTGGCCCGTCGTACCCACTCCGCGTGGACTGTACGACCAGCATCTACTTGGATCCAAGGCGAGCGTGCGATGCGGTGAATACTATAAGCACTAAACCATGGTGCAGGATATGAGCTCAATATATCATCATCCTCAACATAACAGTAATTAAATACTTACCTGTGCGTCCACAGCACCATCATACATATATGCATCATACGACAGTTCATAATATCCATAACATTCTATGCATGGCAATCACATCATATTTCATTTCATTTCAATATATTTTTCATTTAAATTTGATTTCTGGGGAAATCGAGTATATAGGTATATATATATATAGAAAGCAATGCCCACTCACTGGTATGTCGCCGGGTCGTAACCCCCTTGACGCCCCTGGATGTGCTCGTCCTCGTTATAAGTTCCACCTAGAAGTGAAATAACTTAAAACAATCATTTAACGCACAATTAACGCACCTAAACCAAACTAGGTAAAAAAATTCTTCATACGATGCTCAAATTGGGTATATGAATATATATACACAGTGACCTACACAACCTCAGGATCATCCCCAAATTTTTAAAATAATTTTTGGAGTCCTCACGCGCCCCCACGCGCCTGACGTGGCACGGACCTACGCGCGGCCCACGCGCAGCCACGTGCCAGGCACACTGACGGCTACAGTGAACGGCGTTAGGAATATTCCCGGAATATTCCGTTAAAAAACTAACGGTTTCCGTTAAAGTTAACTAACGGCGTCGGAATATTCCGTCAAACTTGACGGAAGATTCCCTGTCTTCTCCGGCGAGTCGCCGGTCGCCGGCGGCTGTTCGCCGGTTTTCTGGAAAATTTTCAAATCCACTATTCTCCTTCGTTTTTCAACCAATTTCTTCGCATTTTATACCAAAATGAAGCATTTCACATGTACTATCACGTTGGAAGGGTTTTAAGGCCTAAAAACAACAAAGATCAAACCTTTCAAAATTCTTCAATTTCGGCCAAACTCGAACCCGACGATCCCGACGTCCATTTTGTTCAAACGAGGCACTCCGAGCCTCCTTGGAACTTCCTAAGACTCGTGGTGATCTTTGTTAACCTAAAACACAACAACCAAAATTAAGTTCGTGAACAGTGCCATTACACGGGGTGTTTTAAAACTAGGGGTTCTCGAAATAGAACTTACCTAAAACTGGTATTCCCGTGCTCGTGAGGTCCTAAGGAGTGTCGTGGTGATCTTAGATCGGACGTTGGTGTAGGATTGTGATTGTTCTTGGTGTTTGTCCGAGAGCTTGAGAGAGAGTTCGAGAGTAAGAGAGAGAGAGAGTGATACTGAAATGAAGAAGAAAGAGAGAGAGAGAGTGAAGGGAGATGAGAGAGAGACATCCCACGGGTTTTGGGGAGGGATTTAGGGGGTAGGACCCCACCCTAAGTCCAAACACAAATTAAATTAACACATACATACTAATATATATCAATTCTAACCCTAGTTTAGGATCTTAGTGTAAAACAAATACCAAATTTACGCACCTTAATCCCGTTTAAGGGCGTTTTAGTTAATTTCACGTCCTCGGTATTTAGTAACTCTGGGACGGGCTGTGACAATCTCCCTCCCTTATAGAATTTCGTCCCCGAAATTCCAATCACTAACCAGAACATCAAAAGTCATAGAATAACCTCGGATACATATCTCTCATCCGATCTTCTGTCTCCCAAGTAGCTTCTTCAGCTGAATGGTTTCTCCACAATACTTTCACCAAGCTCACGGTCTTATTCCTCAAGGTCTTATCTTTCCAATCCAGTATAGTCACTGGTTCCTCATCGTACGTCAAGTCCGGATTAATTTCCAATGGTTGAGGAGGAATCACATGTGAAGGATCTGACACATAATGCCGAAGCATCGAGACATGGAACACATTATGTACCTTAGACAACTCTGGAGGTAGCTCCAACCTGTAAGCAACTTCACCAATCCTCTCAGTGATCTCATAAGGTCCAATGTACCTGGGACTTAGCTTTCCTTTCTTTCCAAAGCGAACCACACCTCTCCAAGGCGATAATTTCAGAAAAACATAGTCGCCCACATTATACACATTCTGTCCGTGGTATGTCGATCCGCTAGGCTCTTTTGTCTATCCTGGGCCACTTTCAGGTTAGATTTAATTACCTGAATATTCTGAGTAGTCTCATCCACAATCTCTGGCCCTTCAAGTATTCTTTCACCAACCTCTGACCAACATAATGGCGTACGGCAAGCTTTACCATAAAGTGCTTCAAATGGAGACATTCCAATACTCGAATGAAAACTATTATTATAGGCAAACTCCATCAAAATCCAAACGATCATGCCAAGAATCACCAAATTGCATCACAGAGGATCTCAACATATCCTCGAGTGTCTGAATAGTTCTCTCTGACTGACCATCTGTCTGTGGATGATAAGCTGTACTGTAAAAGCAATCTAGTACCCAAAGCTTCTTGAAAAGCTATCCAAAACTTAGAAGTAAATCTTGGATCTCGATCAGAAATAATATTCACTGGGACACCATGATACTTTACAACCTTCGATATGAATAACTGAGCCAACTTATTTAAAGAGTACTTCTCCCTTACTGGAATAAAATGTGCTGATTTGGTAAGTCGATCTACAACCACCCAAATGCCATCAAAACCATTTTGTGTACGTGGCAACTTATACACAAAATCCATCGTTATATTCTCCTATTTCCACTGGGGAACGGGAAGTGGTTGCAATCTCCCAAACGGCTTCTTTCTTTCAGCCTTAACCTGCTGGCAGACAATACACCTACTCACATACTCCGCAATCTCTCTCTTCATACCCGGCCAATAGTAGAATGGTCGAATGGTATGATACATTTTAGTTCCTCCTGGGTGCATAGCATAAGCCGAACAATGTGCTTCATCCAAGATTTCTTTCTTCAGTTCCTCTCATTATTAGGCACATACATCCTGTTCTCTTGCATAAGCATACCATCTGATCCTCGGATCTTGAGATCTTTCTTCTTCCCTTCATTTCTTAAATTGATCAATTCTTGAATTTCTTCATCCAACGATTGAGCTGCAAGCACCCGATCAATTAAAATTGGCTTGACTTGAAAATTGGCAAGAAAAGCTTCACTTTGCTCTTCCCATTCTAATTCTACTCCAGTAGATCTCAACTCTGCCAGAAGAGGAACACGACTGGTATACAAAGCATTAAGTCGCCCTTGAGGCTTCCTACTCAGAGCATCAGCTACCACATTTGCACGACCCGGATGGTACTCAATCGTGCAATCATAATCACTTAACAATTCCAACCATCTTCTCTGACGAAGATTAAGATCATGCTGAGTGAAAAGGTACTGAAGGCTTTTATGATCGGTAAAGATCTTACATTTCTCGCCATAGAGATAGTGTCTCCAAATCTTCAAAGCAAACACAATAGCTGCCAACTCAAGATCGTGAGTCGGATAGTTTCTTTCATGAGTCTTCAACTGCCTAGAAGCATAGGCAATCACTCTACTATGCTGCATCAAAACACAACCCAAACCATTCAAAGAAGCATCACTATAGATCTCGAAGTTACCATTATCATCAGGAAGTACTAACACAGGTGCATGAGTAAGGCAATACTTCAACTGTTGGAAACTTTGCTCACAACTTTCATCCCACTCAAACTTAAACATCCTTCCTGGTTAACTTCGTTAATGGCAAGGCAATCATAGAAAAGTCTTGAACAAACCGTCTATAATAACCTGCCAAACCAAGAAAACTCC